GTGCGGGGGGGGGGGTGGTGGGTGGGGGGGGGGGTTGCCCGGAGGGTGGGGGGGTTGTTCCAGGGGCTCCATGAGGTCATGGGGAGTCCAGGAGATATGGGGGGGTCCAGGAGTCTGGGAAAATTGAGGGGCAGGGGGGGGAGGAAGTCCACATACCTGAGGGTCAGGGAGGTCCCGTCAACCCAGAGCCACTTGGCCTCGGTGTCTTGGTCGCTCAGCCCCAGCCAGTGTCCGCGCTTCCCAGCTGCCGTCTCCACCACGAAGTCCTGGGGCAGAGAGGATGGTGTTGGACAGGGGGGCAACACCTCTGTCTGCCACAGCACACCCTCCTGCCCTGGACGCCTGGGTCCCACCCTCAGATCTGCCGCTCACCTGCCTGCTGGGGCCCACCCCTCTGCGCCTCGTTTCCTCACGTGACTCTGCATGGGCCCCACCCCCTTCCACACCTCTGTGACCCCCTACAGTGACCCCTCAGTGACCCCCATGTGGCCCTGCCCCCTCCCAGCAGCAGTGAGAGCAACCTAGAGGCATCTCTAACTCACAATGCATTCCTTGGGGTACCCACAATGCACTGCACACCCCCACCCCCTGCCCCCCAGCCAGGGCTGGGAGTGCCCCCTTCTGGAAGGGCCCATGGCAGTGGGGCTGCACCTGCTCCGCCTCCGTGTTGATGATGACAAGGTGGGCGCCGTGCTCAGCACAGAACACCTTGGCCTCAGGCCACGTCTTCACAGCCGTGGAGAAGTAGTAGCAGGTTCGCTGGAACCAGGCCCAGCCCCGCGGGCACTGCTGGCACACCGTGTCTGCAATGGGGACTCAGACATCTGGGGGGGGGCTCCGGGCTCCAAGGATGGAGCAGAGAACCCAGGCGTCCTGGGACAGCTAGGCTCCCCTCCCAGCATGAAGCAGAGAACCCAGGCATCCGGGGAGGGAAGGCATGGAGGGAGTTGAATAATCTTATTTCCCAGGGCATGGAAGAAATGCGGTGGCAGTGGGGCCCACTTTACCCTCCCAAGGTGAAGAGAACCCAGGCGTCTGGGGTGGGTCAGGTACAGAGGGGGAAGGGCACCAGTCTTCCAGATTGGGGAAGAGAACCCAGGCGTCCAGGGAACACCCCAGTCAGTGTCCCCTTCCAAGGCAGAACAGAGAAGCCAGAAGTCTAGGCCCCTCACCTAGCATTTCCTGGAAGGCTTTGATCTGCTGCTGGGTGCCCTCACGGTCCTGCCGTGCTGTTGCCAGTGCCTCCGACACCCGGTGCTCCAGCGCCTCTGCCCAGAGACCCCGTCAGTGTGGCTCCCCTGGGTACGATGGGCACTGCCCTCCCCACAAGCCAGCCAGGCATCCCCTGCCCCTGCAATCACAGTTAGAGCAGCCTAGGGGCTGCTCTACTGCCCACTGGGGAGCAGGGAATACCCACAAGGCACTGCACTCCACCCCCCCCCCCCCCCGGGGGTACTAACCCCAAGCCCCCCCCCCCCCCCCCCCCCCCCCCCTGGGGTTCACAGCTGGGAGCAAGTCCTTTCTCCCCAATCCGGGGAAGAGAACCCAGGTGTCCAGAAAGTGGAGGACGGAGGCAAGTGGGGAGGGAGGAGGAAAGGGAGCATTCCCCCCTTCCAGGGCTGAGCAGAGACCCCAGGCATGCTGGGGTGGCCCCAATCTCTCAGGAATGAGAGGACCCAGATGTCCTGGGAAGGCAGCTTCTCCTGGGTAGGTACAGGGCCTAGCACCCCACCCACCCTGGTTACTGTAATGTACCTAATAAAAGCACCACCCAGTCAAGGGTAGGGGGCAGGTCCATGCATGAAGCCCCCAGGGGCTGCCACAACACACCTTCTAGAGAGTAATGGGCATCACATGCTATGGAGGGAGGGGGCAGGCAATGCAAGGAATCCCTGGGCAATGCATCCCTCTCACCCTCACCCTCCAGCTCCCGTGCCCGCCTCACCCAGGGCATCCTGTAGAGCCGCCATCGCAATCTCCAGGTCTGCGCGGACGGAGGCCCAGTCCTCCCACTCCTGGGAGCCTGTGACAGCCAGCACAGGAGGTGAGGGGATGGGACGCTCTCCAACCCCAAGCGCCCCCGGCACCCTCACCAGTCTGTGTCTCAGTGCACATGGGCATCCACACACCCAGGCACACACATGCATGTGGGCACACCTGCACATGCCCCACACATGTACATACGTAACTGTGTACATGCACCCTTTCAGGCATGCATAAATGTGCGCACACAACCACGTACACAGACCCCACCATGTGCCTGTACTTGTGCCCACACCATGCATACAACCCTCCATGCATGCATACTTACCCAGACATGTTCACACACAAGCAACCATGGCCCCCTCTATTCCCCCCCACCACACACACACACATGCACACACCCTGCCTCCTACCCCCTCCCCCACCTCAGCTTCTCCAGCCCTCAAAAGCCCCCACCCCAGCAAACTCCCCCATCCCGTGTACATGCAGCCCCTCAGCTCAAAAGCCCCTTGAGGGGCCTGGGCCTTGTGGGGGGGAAGGTGCAGTGCAGTTGTGAATCCCATCATGAGAATTAAGGCAGCCCTTGGGGATTCATGTAGGGACCTCTCCCCTCCCCCAAGTTCTGTGTCATGCCCATTACCCTCTATTAGCTGCATTACGGAACCTCCTGCCTCCCCCCGACTGACAGGCCCCTGTCACCCCCCACAGCATGTCCCAACCCCCCCACAGCAGGGGCAGGGCCCCAGGACACTCACCATTCATGGGCCGAGGGGAAACTTGCGCCTGCAGCTCCTGCCGGGTTGCGGGCTCTGTGGCGGGGGGGTATAGGGAGCTGGGGGTGCTTGGAGCTGTATGAGGCACCCTCCCCACCTGCCTGAGCTGTGCTGGGCAGAGGGGTGGGGGAGGTTTCTGCTCCCAGCAAAGCATGAAGCCCCCCAAGGAAAGTTTATGGGAGTTTGGAATGGGGTAGGGGGGTAGGCCAGGCCATGCCTCAGTTTACTCCTCTGTAGAATGGGGGAAGAGTCCTGTCTCGCCACAGCTGGCCAAGGCCTTGGGAGCTCCCCAGCCCAGGCTGCCCCCTGTTAACACCCCTCAACTAGACTCCATCTCCCACAATGCACTGCTTTACCAGGCCCAGTGCATCATGGGAGTTGTGGTCTAGTCAGGGCAAGGTAGATAAAGGGAGCCAAAGATAGCTGAACTCCAGCTCCCATGATGCACCACAGTGCCACTTCCTGGGGCAGGGATTCAGCGCACTGCGGGAAATACAGTTTATCATAGAACATGGGCCACCTAGGCCCAGAGGGGAAAAGGGGGACTGAGGCATGGAACCTGCATTTCCCATGGTGCACCATGGTCCCCCTTCGGGGGGGGGGGGGGGGGGGGGGGGAGGGTGTTGTGCAAGCTGGGAGGTGCAGGCAGGGCATAGAGGGAATTGCAATGTATCATGGGAAATAGGAGCCAGACAGGCCTAGAAAGGCAAAGGTTGTGGCATCAAAACTGCATCGCCCATGATGCACCATGGTGCTACTTATTGGGAAAGGGGAACAGTGCATCATGGGAAAGAGGCCTACTAAAGCGGCTATGGGGAGTAGGCAAGGAAAACAGTGCATTGTGGGAAATGCAGTGCATCATGGGAAACATGGCAAGGGGGGGTATGAGGTATCAAAATGATATCTCCCATGATGCAACACACTTTTACTGCCTGAGGAGGGAGTGCTAGGCAGGCTGGGAGCAGCAGGGCATGCTGAGAAGTGCAATGCATCATGGGTGATACAGTCTCACTAATGGAAGCATTCCACCCCTGCAGTCCTGGACACCCCAGTTTTGCACCCCCTCTCCTCAATGGCTGCACGATGCCTGGGACAAGCCACTCCCCCCACCCCCTTGTGCCCTCAGGGCTGTGCAAGACTCACGATTCACAAGGACGAATGTTAAGACGGCGGTGCATGTGAGCAGGCAGATGCCCAGCAGTGTGTACATCACCAGGGAGTGTCGGGAGCGGCACCGTACACCTAGGCCCAGGGGCAAGGGCAGGGCTGTGGGGCATAGGTGGGGGGTCATGGCCTGGGGGGGG